CCCCCAGAACATCACAATACACGCATTACATCTTTTAGTTCTATATATATAGGGATTTTTGTACATATATATATATACATACATATATAAAACCCCTTTGGGGAACCCAAAAAAAGGGAAGTATTGTGTTCATAATAAGAGAAATGATACACAAAGATGACAAGCAGCAGAGGAGCCACTGAGTGTTGCATGTGTGGAGACTATGGCTTATCTTCTGAGCTCTTCAAATGCAAAATATGCCAATTTAGATCTCAACATAGGTACCCACTTGAAATCTTTTTTTATTTTTTAGTTTCACTTAATTGTGCTATTTAATTTATTTCCTTGATACTGAGGGCATGCACCCTGAGGACTGAGGAGGGGGGGATTTTCTGACATTTCTGATTGTTGTTTCGTATTTAGACTGGGCTCTTAATTTATCGTTCACATGTTGAATTGTATACATAATATGACGGGGTGATTTAAATTGATCCTATCCGAGTTTAGTTATGCTACTTTCTAATTTATTTTCTTGGATTTTCTCGAAAATAATAATGATTAAAAGGCTTCCTTTTAATTTTTTTTTGCAGGTATTGCAGCAACTTGTATCCAAAAGCTGAGTCATATCGTATATGCAATTGGTGCTTGAGTCCAAAGGAGGTTTCTGGTGATAAAACACAGAACTCTTCAAATTCATCTTCTTCATGTAGAAATACAAGTGACGTTCAAGATGGTCCAATAAAGTTCAAGAAAAAGCTAATTAGAAATGAAAATATTGATATTGGACCAAATCCAAAGGGGAAAAAGGGTTCTTTAATGAAGCTGCAACTTATCAAGAAAAACCCCATTAAAATACAAAAGTCTATGGAGCGATCACCGTCAATGGCTGCCAGAAAAAGGGTCACAATTGAAGAGAAAATAAGGAGAACAAAGTCAGAGGAAATATCAAATAGGGGAATCACAAGAAAGGTACTTAAAAATAGGGTAAGAAGGTATAAGCTATTGGATGAAGTCTCAAGCTAATGAAATTTTAAGAATTTGTAGATTGTTAGTTTTTTTTTTTTGGGTGTATGGTTTTGGTGGTTCTGAAATTCCATGCATACAAATTTATGTAGACAAAAAATGAGGTTGCTTCATTATATTAGAACCCTTTGATCATCATTGAGAGAAGTTACAATGCAAAACTAGGGTTAATGGAGTCTTTGATCACTTTGGTTTCATTTTTCTTCTTGTTCTTAGTTCACATGTTCATTTGGAAATCACTGAATTGGTCAGTGTGACGAAGTCAAACCTAAAGAGAATGGATCTCCCTGAAATTATCCCTTAAATATGTAACAGTGCTCTTTACGTACTCTTGTTAGCGTTAATTTATACTCAAGAATAACTAACTAACATCCTTCCAAGCTTGTTCAAACTTTAGACCAGCTAAGTCAATTAATTTTTTTGAATCGATGAAAGGTGTATTAAAAATTTTAAAATCAAACTGTACAATATTTAGCTAAACAATAAAAATACTTGTAATGAAACTTTGATTTTAAAATTAACATAAAAAAGACAATAATGAAAATTTTACTGAGTATAAATATACAAAGTATTCTCGGACCCTGCGTGAACGTAGGATATTTTGTATACCCGCTGTCATTTTAATAATAACAAGCTAACATGAGGCAGATATATACTCTGTGAATACACATTTTGTGTGTGTATTTAGAAGTAAAAAGGGGTAGCATATGCAGCAATAATGGTGATAACAACCACTCACTCAATATCATCAACATCATGGGTAGGAAATTCTTGTTGTGTGTCTTATCACAATTCACAAATCACCACTACACAACAAATTAGTCAATTCTTTCTGTTTGTCTCTCTTTTACCCTAAAAATTATTCCAAGTGAAATGAGCAGACAAATAACTGTAAATAGCTACTACTCCCACTATAGCAATGACTACTAGCTAGCTGCCAAGTAAGCTAGTGAATCCAGTAACTAAAGTTGCGAAATTCAAAATGAGTATAATCGTATTATATGTATAAGTATTTATTAATTTATTGCATATGTATATATATTATTTGAGATAAAAATAATATATTAAGTTGAAGTCGCATAATTCATCCTAATTTGTCCTTATTATATATAACTTTTTCTTGCATTTCCTTCCTCAGTTTAATTAACAGTATTATCATTTTCTCTCCATTTATTTCTCTCTTCCGTATAATTTCTTTGGGAAAGGGTAAAATCCATGCAAAAATTCCATTAGCGTACAGATCATCTTTACTTCACCAACTTCATTTACGTTCATTATTAAATTCTATTCATGAATTAATCAGTGGGGTGATTAGTGAGTTAGTTGAGGATTAGCTAGCCAGCCTAGCTAATTGCTGCTTGATGGATGTGTGCAGAACCCTAGTTATTATTAATATATATTATAAGCAAAAATATTAAGTATACAAGTATCAATTATGAATTATACAGATTTGATAGAAGGACAATATTCGAAGGATAGCAAAGTATAAAGCAAAGAAGGTCACGAGAATTAAATTGGGTTGAAAATAAAATAAAAAATCTCTAAAGTCGTTGAGACTAATGAAAAAGAGAATTAGGAATATTAGATTACGTGCTTTTACCCTATTCCTCAGAAAAATAATTGATCATTTGATTCAAATCGACTAAATGTTATGCTGTCTGAGCAATTATAGTATGAATACTGTTAGACTTTCCAAAATTTGATGGGACATTTGAACCAAATTCTCATCTAGTGGACAACATTTTCATTATCATGATTCATAAGAATTAGATTCTCTCTGGAAACTTCCTACACTTTTTCTTTTTCTTTCGTTATTTTGGCGTGTTTTAATTAGCAAGGGTATATACATTTGAGAGATATATACTCCCTAAATGATTCAATTAACGTATTTTTTCCAATATAAATCTTTTCTTATATATGACCGGAAAGAGTTATGTGAAGTAGTAAGTATTTATTCATCATCAATCAGAGGTCTTGAGTTAAAGCCTTATGTAGAGGGTCATCTTTATTAGGGAGTACTTTACACTCTAATAGCGGTACGAATTTGAACTTTCCAGTACGAATTCGAATTTAGTCGGACTCAAATATGAATATCAGACGACGGGTGAAAAACGAAACAATAAAATCTTTTCTCGTTCATCATATGGGTTTTAAAAGAATAAAACAAAGATGTATAGAAAACCAGCAATACATATGGGTTTTAGGTTTTGGACCGTGGGGTTTGTATTTTTTATTATTATTATTATTATTATTATTATTATTATTATTATTATTATTATTTCTTTTCTTACGTTGGGGGGTTTGTAGGTCAGCCTGTGGCGTTTGTATTTATTATTAATATTATTATTATTATTATTTCTTTTCTTACGTTGGGGGTTTGTAGGTCAATACAACTGCATTATTGTTGTTAGACGAAGACTTTTTCTCCAAGGTTTTAAAGGAATACTTTAAAAGAAAAACAAATTGAAGATAGACTACTGGACTTGACCAAGTAAATTTCTGTCCATTAAAAAGAAAGACTTGACCTAGGAAAGAGTGATACATAGACCATCATTAATAGAGTCAACCTCTCTTTTTGTAGGTAGGACGACATATTTTGTGACACATAGTACAATTATTTTCAATTTGGCCAAAATAAATTCATACTGTGCATTCGTTGTAGGCACGTCTAGACATAAGATACAGTATAGAAATATTTTTGTCAAAAATAATTTCAATTCATCAAAGTTGTTAATATAATTAATATTGGCAGATAGGAAGTTACTTTCCCATAACCAGTACCGACTGAACAGCTTAATTAAATTAAAGTATAAAATAGATAATCCAATCATAATTAAGAAAAAATATATATATGCAAAACATATGCACGTCTTTTATTTATTTGTTTCATGCAATATTGAGCGCAAATAAATCTTTACCATAAAAAATATGTAACTCTCGTGGCAACGAATTTGCATAGATCCCATTACACAGGGAAGGAGCTTCAGTAATTACTCAAATATCCTTTCACTAGGCACTATTACTATGGTTGTGGG